CTTCTTCTTCCAGCGCAGTAGAGGTTCCGTTCTACTAGCGGGTGCTAAACAAGACCATAGGCCCGGCCACTAGGCTGTGGCAGCACGAATGCTTCGTGTGAGCATGTCATCCATGATGGATCGTGGTGATCACTAGGCCGCTATAGCCCGTGCCACTCTTAAAAACCCTTGGCTCACCCTGAGATTGTACAGAAAAGAGGGTGCTGCCTCGGGCAACGAGCAAAGAATCTCAAGACTCAATCGTCCAGCATGTCCAGAGCAATTGGCATGGCTTGCTGCCTCATCGGTCCTCTGAGATCTTGCGAGGTCCATGCTTCTGAGGCGGGCTAAGCACAACTGCTCCGTCAGACAGGCTTGGGGTATGGCGGCTCAGAGGGATGCAACTGCTTAGGCATGCAACTACGACATACATGGAGGTAGACGTGTCTTCCAGGGCCGCAGTGTCAGCAATTTTCGGCTCCGCTGCATCATCCAATATGAAATCCGAGATCCCCCTCACCATGGTGGTGTAATGACCTGAGTTGGGGCTAGCGCCATGGTGTCTTATGATCGCAAGGGTGTGGTATGAAAACCAGGTAACCGACATGTCTGTTGCACTCACGAAAACCGGTAGCTGGAGCTCACCTGGCAGCAAATACGGTTGGTGAAGCTTCTCTATCCCCGAATCTCCATACTTAAACCTGGGCAGTTGGAGAAACAGCCATGGCGGAGCAGCCGTAAAGGCGTGGAGTGACTGCTGGCGATGCCAGTACGAAATCAGCTCCTGGATGTCCGGATGGTGCTGCGGGGTGGAGATGAGTCGGAGGCATCGGTTTAGGGGGCCACTATCTGTGATTCTGCAGCCCTCCGCCTCAAGAGAGCGGCCGCACCAAGCTTCTCCCCTACTCGTGACCACCCTGGGCATCAGGAAGTCAGCAAACTCTGCTAAGTCATGCTGCAGCCGGGGCTGCGGCCATCCTAGGAAGAAAAACCCCAGCGAGTTTCTGGCTCGCACCCCTGGGCCCGAGAGATAGCGCAGGCTTCGATGCAACAGGTGTTGATGGTTGGTGCAGTGAGCTGCTACCCACAGGGCATACAAGAGAGCATTGGCATAGCAGTCAGTACCCTCATTGAGCAGCGCAAAGGGTGGCTGAAGGGCTAGGCTATGGCTGAGCGCCTGGCCTTGGACCACCTGCGGGCTCACCGCTTGTACAACAGGGCCTCCAACTGTTTCGCCGCTGGGGACCGCTGAAGGGACTCCCGCTTCAAGGAGAGGCCGATGAGCTGGAGAGCTGAAATCCCAATCAAGTTGAGGAAGTGCAGGTGCACTTCGTAGGCTCGCGGGCCTCTGAGGCTGATGGACATCAGGAAGGTCGCGATCTGGGCCCCCTCGCTTTCCAAAGTCTTCAGCTTCGTTGTCGAGTGAAACTGGTGGATTATATCTCCCCGAAGATTGGTGAGCAAGAAGTCGATGGATGAGAGGAGGTCGGCATGCTTCATCCCCTCTGCCTTTTGATCCAACACCAGCTTCTTGGTCTGTCGGCACCACTTTTGGCGGGTCCAAACCTGGTCCGCCGTAAGCCAGCCTGCCGCCTGAAGCTTGCTCACGCCTTCCATGCTTGACATCATGTGAACCACTCGCTCCCTGAACTGCCGCATCAGACAGGCCAGCAAGAGCGTCCTCAACGGCGTAGTGATTTCCGAAGAGCCCTCGGCCACCATCGCGTTGTACTCCTTGGAGACCGCGTAGAGACCCGGCAAGATGCTGATCTGATCCTGGCGGAAGAACATCACCAGGCCTTTGTCCATGCGAAGCTCCGCCAACTGAGTTTCCTGGCGCAAAGCTAGACGAGCCAACGCCTGGACCAGCTCCGACTCCTCTGACTGGCCCCGGTTGGGAAAGCGACGGTAGCCGCGCTGCGGCGGTAGCTGCGGTTTGGGATTCGGCCGCGGACGTTTCTGCCCCGACTCGACCCGGTCCTGGTCCTGCTGCCCCACCATGCAGTGCCTGAAGATGTCCGCCTCGGGATTGAGGCCCTGGCTGTTGTCGACAGTCATGGTCTCCTGTTGAGGCCTGCTGCTGACAGAATGTGGCGGCAAGGGCCAACTGGTACAAGACCGGGCACTGCTCCGAATGACGACCTGGGGCCCAGACTTTAAGCCCGCACCAAGCACAGGAGCGGCCGGTGGCCAATTGGCTTTTAAAAGGGCGACACTTTTGCAGGACAAGAGGATGCAAAGCGTCTGAGACAGTTTTGTGTGCTCTACGAAGGTGCTGTTTGATGTGTTGAAAGTCTGCAACCCACATATGGCAAAGAACACAGTGCTGTTTCAACTCCTGTCTGAGTGCCTGATGTGCCAAGAGAGCGTCCCAGCGGTGCCAAGACTGCAGGAAGAAGGGTCTGGCAACCAGCGGCTGATTTTGCAGCTCGGGCTTATCATCCGCCGTCGGCGGGGCAGCTTGCGGCTCAGGAGTGGCGCGAAGATCGACCTCAGCACGAGGCTGTAACACAAAGCTAGTGCCCCCCAGTTGGGCGCAGGCCCCTGATTCGATGTGATGGCGAAGGTATTGCCAGTTGGAGAACTTCCTGCCACAGAGCTGGCAGTGAGGGAGACCTCCGATAGCATGAAGCTCCGGTTGGAAGGTGGCAGCCCGTCCCACTGTTGACTTGGGTTGCTCGGAGTGATGCAGACCTATGTGGATTCTTAGGGCATGCTCAGAGGAGAGCTGGTGGGAGCAGTGCGGGCAAGCAAAGGAGACCTGGCTGTCAGGCCGTGGAGTTTTCTGGGTGGCTCGCTTTTCCAGTAGGAGCTGCAGCTGCTGTTCCATCAACCTAAGACGTGTTATCAGGTCTGGGCTTGTGGTGATGTCAGGTGCCTCGCACATACGAGCCTCCAGCTTGCCGCGCGCAGATATCATGGCGTTGAGCACGCACTGTCCGGGAGGTGTGATCTGGGACCTGTGCCACACTTCCTGATTTTCTACTCTAGTGAGATGAGCGGGCAGTCTAAGGATTGCGCGCAGGTGCTTCAAGACCCGAGTTTCCAGCTTCTGCAACCCTGGCTCACTGAGACCAACAGCCGGCAGCGAGTACAAAAGGCTAGTACTGACACAAGCAGTCCATAGGCGCAATCGGTGCGCCTGCTGAATAGCATGTCGGCCAGTAAGGGCCCGTTGGATGGCATGATACCGCGCCTGACCCGATTGCAGGCGATGATCAAGATTTGTTTCCTGTTGCCGGTGATAGCTGACTCGAGAGCCCAGGTACTCGTGCTCCTCTTTAATAGGGATTAGCCTTTCAACTCCATTGACATCCAGGCTCAAGTGCAGAACTCCATTCTTCATGCGGGTAATGTCATGGAGGGCTTGTCTCGCCTGCTTACCGACAAACTTCAGCAGTATGGCCGTTTTAGAGTAGTTGATCTGCATGCGAAAGGACTCAAGGGTACAAAGCAACACCTTAAGTTCGTCCAACGCCCGATTGAGGTCGGCACGAGAGTACAGGAGCCAGTTGGCCCAACAATCATCGGCAAATAGCGTCAAGATTTCGGTGACCCAAGCGTCGGACAGCTGAAGGGCTAGCGAATCCATTAGCGCTATTGTGTACCATACCCATAAACAAGGAGCTACCTTACAGCCTTGCTTCAATCCGTTGGTTGAAGTAAAGCTGGCCTCGTGGTCGCCTGCGTGATAAATGAACTTGGCTCCAAAGTGGAGTCGTCGTGCCACCTCCACTACTGCAGGTGGGATGTCGTAGTTCGGTAGGGCCTGAAACAGCAGCTGACGGTCTGTCAAATCGAAGGCCCGACTGAGGTCCAAGGAGAGACTCAGGGCTCCGGCAAAAGGAAGAGGCTTGCGTCCTCCGTGCTGCCCGAAGCGCGAAATCCTATTTGATTTGAACAGAGCAACCGCGTCAGCTATGTGCTTATGTACACGGAGCAGCGCGTCAAATGTGCCGCGATGGGGCACATAAGCAAATTGAGGGCGCAGCTTTATGCGAGGGAGCTGCCACTCCATCATCCTGCCACGGAGAACCCCAGCAAGTGATTTGGAGGGTGGTGCCATCAGACCTATTGGGCGGAGATTGGCAAGGAGATGTGCCGGTTTGCCCGCCTTGGGCAACATGACCATGCTGGCGTCGATGAGGTCGCCATGGATGAGCCCCATCTCACCCTCCCGAAAGTGCCCACGAAAAGCCTTGGCAAACAGCGGCCCAAGGAAGTCAGCACACGCCTTCCAAGCAGCAGCAGGAGCGATATGCTNNTGATCGCTTTCAGCTGAGCCGTGACTTCGGCTTCCGTAACCTCAAGCGTTTGGCTAAGTGGCTCGAGGACAGCCAAATCAGGATACTGTGCATAAGTGCTTGCACCCTGGGCAACAAGAGCCTGTGCCTCCGCGGCCTTTGTCAGGAGCTTGCCCTCCTGATCTCTAAGTCTCGAGAACGTTTTGCGAGGATGTGATGTGAGGGAGTTCACAATCTGATGTAATGTGCGTTGGTCTCCACTGCGGGCAGCCTCTTCAGCTTGAAGCAGCTTGGCTTGGAAGGCCTGTCTCTTTAGCTGTTGACTCTGCTCTTTCAAGGCTCGAGAAGCCCGGGCAAACTGCACCGCCAGCCTCCACTTTGCGACAACGTGGCCGATTGTAGCGGCCCTGGCTCGCCTAAGCGAGGCGTACAGCTGCCAGGTGTATCGAGCGGAGGCCCTGAAGCCTGCCTGCGCGCTCAGACGGGTGTCCGGAGAGCGCTTTGCGGGAAACAGCTGCCGTGTCACCTGAGTCAATGCCAGATTGACTTGGTGATGCAGCTTGTGGAGATCTGAGACATCAGCCTCCTGTAGGTCCCTCTGGACCGCCTGTTGAAGCTCGTCCACCTTTGGATCGTGGGTGAGAACGGCTTGCAGCAGAGCTGCCTTGTCACATTGGTTGGTGCGACCGCTGTTAAGGTCCCCTCGCCACTGTGGCGGGACGATAGACAGCTGCACCTGCACAGGGTAGTGACCACTGCCCCGCCAGCCCGCAACTGGGAAGTGCAAGAGAGGTCTCGCCTGCTTGCTAACTCCTCCAGCTGTGCTCCTACGGGTGAAGACGAAGTCAATTTGGCTACACCCCTTGTGGCTCCAGAAAGTATGTGCCGGATGGGCATGCCACGTGTTTAATGCACAAAGGCTCAGCTCCTGCACCAGCTGTGCCAGTTGAGAATCTTGGTTAGCAGCCGTGTCGGCCAACACTGCTGGTCCCACGTAAGGCATGCATGACGGCAAACTGGAGTTGAAATCTCCACTCAAATGAAGCACATTTCTCTGCGGGAGGCCTGCTACTGTGGTCCTTATGCAGTCCCAAGTGTAGTTTCTGAGCTCACGATTGGCCTGTGTACTGAGGTGTGTTCGCCAAACATGCTGGTACACTGCGATAATATCCATTGTGATGGGGGTGTGTTTAAGGCTTGCACGCACATGCAAAACTCGGCCCGGCTGCACTTCATGAACCGTCGGGTCCTTGAAATGATGCTTGGACAGGAGGACCAGGAGTCCTGCGAACCTGTCGTGAGGGCTCTGCTTGTCACCAGCACTATGAATGCAAAACCATCCCCCGGAATGAAAATCACTACTGTTCGGCCAATGTGTCTCCTGCAGAACGACAATTTGATGGGTACCCTGAACGTCCAACCATGCCATTAATTCTTGGTACACTGCTGACGTGAGTCCCCCTGTATTCCAGCTAATGCTTTTGATTTGCTGAAATCTGGCCTGTGTGCTGCGATGCTGCTGTCGGACAGACCTGAGAGCGGTGGGTTTAGGCTTGTAGGGGAGGGCCTGCAGGCTAGCTGCTGTATGCCACCTGCCTCGATACCATGTGCCGCCCATGCGGCTTGCCCGCAGCCTTGCGCGCCTAAAGGCACGTTTTTCAGGGGGCCGTGGCTGGATCAGATCCGTACGTGACATGCTCAGCACCGGTCCACGATGCTTCCCCAGTTCTGCTGAACCAGGTCCCGCCTCCACCGTGGTAATGGAGGCAACCCTCGCACCAACCATAACCCTATATCCCCACATGCTAATGAGTCTCACAAGGTTATGGTGCCTGGACTTGGGACCAGGCCGGCTTTGTGATCGGTCCGTGCGCCCTGTCGGGAGGGCACTGTGCTCGGTGCTTCGTGCTGGTGTCTCTATATCTTTAGGGGTTCCAGACCTAGCCTTAGGGAGCGGAGACTTAAGACTAGGGTATGGGAGAAGGCACTGGTCGCGGAGCGGCTTGCCTGCGGCGCAACAGGCGCCCGTCGTGGAGGCATCCACGGCTGCTCGCTCACCTGCAGGTGGGGTGGGCGGCTGAGGGCGGGTTTGAGACCTACAAGAGGGACAGAAACAGGGCCGGCGGCCTGTCCCACGGGTTGATGCCCGTGTGTCCCCGGCGTGTCTCGGCTTGAGGCGTCGCCGATCATTGTCACGGCATCCTGATCTACTTCTGGGGATACTTTTAGGATACCACTGATACTTAAGGCGGGTATGCAGGTCGAAGAGTCCTTGCTGTGGCCATTGGAACCGCCGGGCTCGGAAAGATTTCGGGCGCCAGGGCTGACGCCTCCAACACTGCATCCTAAGGCAGGGCATTCGCCCGAGCTTCTCTGACCATTCGCAGCCATCGTCTCCACTCTGCCGCCCCCAAGCTGCGTCTGGCTGAATCCAGGGTCGTTCTCCAGCTGGCATGCTGAAGACTCCGCGTGAAGGCACTTTGTCTGCCTCCCAGTTGCCGCTGGGACAGGTCTGGGTGGCTACGGGCCACCTGGTTACGCCAGATTTGTGCCAGGGAATGCTGCAGTGCGTGGAGGGCGTTGGCATCCATGTCCGCATCTTCCAGGTCGTCGCCGTTGTCGGAAACTGGATCCGTGTCGTTCCAGACCCACCTCGGCTGATCGGCAACGGTTTGCTGCCACTGTTGCAGCTGCGGTCCTCGGAACACTTGCCTGCCCAGGTCAGCGATCTGCTGCAGTCCCATATGCTCCAATTCATTCGCTCGCTGCCGTTTCTCCAGATCCCCAAAGAGAGCCACGAGTTCGCGTTTGCTGCGCAAGGGCGGTGGAGTGGGGTCCGAGGAGCTGTTGTCATCTGTGTTCGCATCATCCTCTGAGCCACCATGCTGCTCTCTTCTACCTGGAGAAGTATCAGCAGCAGCAGCCGCTTGTGGAGCATCCTCTGCCATGGCATGCGCCCCGTCGAAGCAATCCCCGAAAGGAAAGAAAAGAGACCGACCGGACAGGAAACCCGAGAA